AACTGTAAAAGCGAAGGATTTTAAGAAGGACTTGATTAAAAAGATAATATTTAGATTTATTGATGAAGACGGTTTTAAAAGTAAAGATGCTGCGAAGGTAGATAAAGAGTTTAATGAAATAATGGATATAATGAGAAGTGATAAAGAATTTGATAAATTCGTAAAAGATTTAATGGAATATTATGATAATCTTTTTGATGCTATAAAAATTCAACAAGTGGAAAAAATCAATAAAAAGGGGAGAAATTTGACATATTGCAGGAAAACTTAACTGACGGAATACAACATGTTTCGATGTATCATCGCTATATTTACACCGACCTTAACAGCAACTTAACAACACTTAAACAAGCCATTGAAAACAGCACATATATAGAAAATCAATGTTGGATAAATTCATTATCTGATTTTTATAAAGATACTTTAATGGACTACGGTAAAAGAAATCAACTGACCAGAGAAAAAATTATTGAAATTATAGGCAGAAGCGATTTTTATAGCAATGGTGCAAGTATTGAAGAAATGGATAAAGTCTTTAAGGCTTTCAAAATACCAGCTAGAATTTATAATAGCTTTAATAAACTGATTTATAAACATGAGCCTGAACGTAACACGTGGAGAATTAAGCCGTTTTATGCCATAGTGAAAAACAGCCATATATATACAATAAATAACAATCTAAAAAGTATAGAGCAGAAACAAGACGAAGGAGAAACCAAGCCACTTGTAAAAGCTTCGACAGACTATCATTTAAATGAAAAAGAAGAACCACCTGAATTTAAAATGTTCAGAGATACACATGATATTTTAGGGATGGTGAGTAAGGAGAAAGAGCCGAAAACAATTCATTTAGTGCCTGAATTAAATAATTTGACTGAAATATTTTTTGAATTAGTTAATGCAAGATATGAGCCCCAGATCAGATTTCAAGCCGGTATAATAACGGTGATAAAAATGAAACTTAAAAAAACTACCTTTATAATAAAATCTCAAAATCTTATTAAGGATTCTTCTGATGGATGTATAACAGTTGATAATGAAAAAACAAGTTGTAGCGATGTTCCATTTTAATAAGAACCTATTTAATCCATTACATAAGTCATTTTATAATAAAGTTGATTTGGAAATTTACCACGAAGCAAAAACCATACCACCGTCAGGACTTTTTACAGATAAGGGTTCTATACCAAAAGATATTACAGAGATTGACATAACAAAAGCATATACAAGCAGACTAGTAGAGATTACACAAATACCAGTTTTCAATCAGTTCGACATCTGGAAAAAATGGCTTAAAGAAATGGATTTTTACACGATGTCGGATCATACATTATTTTTTATAGAGGATTGTAGCCATAACGGAATTGTAAAACATAGCACTTTTTTAATGTTTAACAAGAGATACAACCTTATTTATGGAAAATATTTAAAACAAATTAACACAGATAAATTAAACATATTATATTATAAAACACCATCATTTATTCACGAAGTAAATTATAGTGATTATGTAAAAGAATTATGGAATAAAAAAATTAGTGACGAAGAAGAGCTTGATAAAATGATTAAAAAACTTATTGTAAATTTTAATATTGGACTTTTGGAAAAAACCGGTAGCACAGACCAGAAAAGTATAGTATTTAAAAATATTAAGGAAGCGTCAGATTTTCAATTAAGACACGGAGGAAAAATTCATAAAATAACTGAAATGGAATGTAGGAACCAAGCAGTTTATGACGGTGATATAAGAAATGGTGATTTTTCTATGCAGACACAGACAATAGAAGAGGAAGGAATGGAATATTATTTAGTTAATGTTTCAGATAAAGCGACGTTAAACAACGGTTTTATTTATGTAAAGGAACTATTGCTTCAAGACCATAATTTTAAAATGTGTCAGGATTATAATAAATTAAGGAAAAATTCTATAAAGGCAGTTAGTGTAAAAACAGATGCATTTGTTATTAAATCAGAAGATGTAGAAAAAGCTAAACATGTATTAGAAATGAAAGCAGGTATAGGAGAATGGAGAACGAATAAAGAAGGTGAAGAAATGAAATTACCAAGTGAAGCATATCAGAGGAAAAAGAACGAATTCTCTAAAATCCCTATCTACAAGAATACAGCAATAAAAATTAATGATGAATATGATATAAAAAATATCATAGAAAAAGTTATTAGTGTTAAACATGTGATGATCCGTGCAAAATACGCGGGGTCAGGAAAAAGTTATATTTGTGAAGAAATGGCTAATATGGGTATGAATGTTTTATTCGTGTGTCCTACAAACAAATTAGTTCAAAAATACGGAATGGAAGCAGTAACAGTTAATCTGTTTTTTTCAATTGCTGTTGGTGACGAGAAGATAGAAAAATTTGATTATTCCGGTTATGATGTTATAGTATTTGATGAGATTTATTTCAATGGTTTAAGGGTATTAAATAGAGTTAGAGAGTTCGTTGAAAGTAATAAAGATAAAATAATAGTAGCAACAGGAGATGGCAAACAGTTGAAGCCTGTATCGGAATTAACAAATTTACAAGAACATGAAGAATACGCTGATAATTGTGTGGATAAAATTTTTAAATATAATATTTATTTGAAAGTCTGTAAGAGGTTAAGGACTGAACATGATAGACAAAAATTAGAAAACATTTATAAGGACATTTTTGAAAATAATATTACTGTCAGAGATTTAATAGTGAAATATTTTAAATATACATCTGACATGAACCTAAACGAATATAATGTAGCTTATTTAAATGACACCTGTAAGGAAGTAGCAAATCAGATAAGAAAGAAGCAGAATAGAACGGGTGAATATGAAGTAGGCGAAGTTATGATATGTAGGGAATATTTAAAATCAACAGAATATAAATTTCAAGTTAATTTTAAATACAAAATTTTGAACATAATTGAAAATATAGTAGTATTAGAGGATGAGCACAGTAAAATAATTCAAAAATTATCGTTAGATATGTTGAGGAAGCATTTTATATTCAATTATTGTTTTACTTGCCACAGCGTTCAAGGGTCTAGCATTGAGGGAGGTATAACAATATTTGATTATAATCATTGCTTGGTAAGTAAGAATTGGATTTGGACAGCTATTACAAGAGCTACTGATTTAAATAATGTAAGTTTTTATAAATATGATGATGATAATGACGCCTCACCAGAGGCTCGCGAGCTTCGCGACGATTTTAATAAAAACTGTATTTATAATTATTTGAAAAGAAAGGTAGAAGGATATAAGGAACAAGACAGAAAAGCTAAAAGGAAAATTGACCATAAAAACTATATTACGGCAGATTGGTTATTAGATAGATTAAATGGAAAGTGTGAATTATGTAATACAGATTTTTATGTAAAGTCAATAAACGGAAATATAAGGACGAACCTGACAGCACAAAGAAAATTTAACGACCAGTCTCACACGATAAGTAATTGTATAGCATATTGTAAAAAATGCAATTGCGCGATGAGCGATAAGGAAAAGTTTTAAAATGATTTAGTTTTAAAAAAAACTTTTATATTATATTGTATATATGCCAGTTAGTAAAACAAAGGTTGTTAAAGAAGAAACGATTGTAGAAAAACCAAAGGAAGAGGAGGAGCAAGATTTTAATGACAAAGTTTATGATATGATTTCAGAGATATATCATAAAATGGATTTAGTATTAGATAAAATGGAGGCTATTAGTGAAAAACCCAAATCCAGAACAAGCAATATAAATAGCGAAGCGGCATACGCGAACAAAAGAAACGCCTACATTAAGAAATTAAATGATGGAGCAATTTTACAGCCGAAGCCGGAAACAATGGAATATTATAAGGTTGTTAAAGATGGTGATAAATATGTTTAGTTTTTTAAACAATAATTTTTGAAATAAAATTTATGCTGAAAATTTGATAAAAACTTAATTATGTTAATTTGCAAAATGCTATTTTTTATAAAATATTTTTTTTTTATGAAAATTTTGAAAAATTGTTTTTGTGAAATTTTGAAAAATTAATTTTATGAAATTTTGGAAAATATTTTTTTGAAAAGTTTGAAAATTAATTTATGAAAAATTTTGAAAATTATTTTATGAAAAATGTTGAAAATTATTTTATGAAAAATTTTGATAAATTTTATGATAAAAATTTTGAAAATTATTTTATGAAAAATTTTGATAAATTTTATGATAAAATTTTCGAATATTTTTTTATCATAAAATAAATATGATTTGTTTAAGTGGATTGAAAAAATGAAATTTGAAAATTTATGAATTTTTTATTAAAAATTGAAAATTTTTACATTTTTTATTAGAATTTCTGTTAAGAATGGTTGAGGGGAGGATGTCAAAAACGAGCAAAAATTTATTGGAAATTGGAAAACGTAGGGTAGACCCTAGGAAAAAAACGTATAAGGGTTGAGCGGTGCGATATAAAAGACTGCAGGTGGCTGATCCTAACTCTGATTGCGCCTTGTCGTGGCCCTCGCAGAACGCAACCGTGAACAACCCATGTCTTGCACGTGACCTAGTGTTATTTCCTGTACTTCCGTGGCATTATTCTCACAGGTCTTTCTGTCGTGATACTGTCGTGCTTCGTTGGCGCATGTGTCTTTATGTGCATCTCGCAGTGTCTCGTAGGTTTCTCACAATGGTTTGCATGGTTCTGGTTATTAGTATTTTCGTAGTTTTCGTGTACGTTTGTTGTACTATTGTTCGATTTTAGTTGTCTCGTATTTTTCGCTTATTGTTCCGGCATGTTTTTATAGTCCTTTTCTCGTATTGTTATTGCGTTTTGACGTCGAACACTCCACCCGTATCTTTCCTTGTATTTTGCACTACCTTTTTGCAGTATTTTTTCGTATTGGTTCTCGTAGTTATTCTCATATTTATTGCGCAATTCATTATTTCACAACTATTGGTTTTTAGTGGTCCTACACTGATCCTGGCTGATGCCCGTCACACGGCGAGTCATTGCCATCATGTCAAGCCGCAAGCCCGAAGGAGAAGATCTTGACGTCCGGTGGATGGTGCTACTTCGCAGAAGAGTCAAAGCCGGTCACGAAAGGAGACTACTCTGATGCCGACTGGCTCCTTCCCCGCTTCCACAAAGAGTTTGACAAAGGTTTGGCCAAGGGCCTGGTCAAGCTTCTGTTGAAAGATGGGGACTCGATCACGGATTGTGGTGCTGGTGTTGGGCAAGCCGGACACATCCTGCGTGCCCTGCTGCCCACGCTGCAGTACCATGGATATGATGGAGCCGGAAATTCGGAAGAGTTCACCAATGGCTATGTGCGTTTCACCGATCTTTCGTATCCCATGAATTTGGCAGTGTCTGATTCTCGTCAGATCAACCAGAAGCTTTATTTTTCAGGACACGGTTTCATATGTTGAATCGTTTGCGATTGGAAGATGGACATTCAAGGGGCAGCAAGCTCAGGATTGGGTCATCGCTCTTGAGGTCGGCGAGCACATCCCGTATCAGGTCGAGAAGGAAGTCGTTGCCAACCTTCACGCTCACAATCGCAAGGGCTTGATTCTGTCCTGGGCGAAGCTGAAACAAGGCGGTCACGGCCATGTGAACTGTCACAGCAAGGAGTATATCATCCAGCTCTTTGAAGAACTTGGCTACAAGTGTGATGTCCCGCTTACAGAAGCATTACAAAACGCTTCGGGATATCCCTGGATCAAGGCCAATGTCATGATCCTCAGGCGAGCTTAGACCCTTTCTGTTGCAGATGAAGAATGAAGACGTGGGATGCGATTTCAGCAGCAGTGCGGCTGCGGCTCTAATAGGGGCCTTGCGAGGTTCTTGACAGCGAGAGAATGACAAATCAAAGGGAAATCACCAATTGCATGAAATTCTTAAGCACACGTCGTAACGACTGTGGGGGTAAGCTTCACTTTTTTCGTTCTGCTGAGCCCGGTTTGCATCATTCAGAGGTGGCTGTGTGTTCCAAATTTGTTGTCTAGGGACCTGAGTGCGGGACAACAAGTGGCGAGGGCATGAAGCGTAGGGGAAGGATGCCAGACTGTAAGGGCTTCACGATTCCTGGATTCCTGGTTGGATTCCCCCTCCTCTTTTCAGCCTTTGAGCGCTAAGACCTAGTGCGAACTAAGAGTGTAAGCTTACCGTGCCGACATGTTTTGTTCCTCCGAACATAGGCGAAGCCAAAGTTCAAAAGTATCGCTAGCTCCGTATTCATCCCCGTCGCAAAAGCAGACGCGCAGCTCGCATGCTGGACGGTGATCGATTTAGCAGTAGTGAGTTTCGCTTCGTCTTTAGATCTCTTCGTAGGCACCGGCCAAGAGCACACAACGAAGTCAACGAAGGCCAGTCTCTGCGCAGTTATACGTGCTTGCTAGCATATGCACTCATGAAAGTTAATAAGTTTTTAGAAGCCCTGAGTTTGGGTCCCAAAGCTCCGTGTCGTCACATCTCATCTCAGGGGTGTATGGTCAACACCGCTTTGTCTGCAGCTGCAGCAAAGGCCGGAGTGTGTAATAGACATTCCAACGCCCACCCGCATGTGATCTCACTTCGAGGCCGCTTGCGCGTCGAACCCTGTATGGCCCCAAGTTTAGCCTTGCGTCGGAGACGTTGCAGCCCCAAAGCTAGAAATCGGGGCCATCGTGCCCACAGCAGCACTGGCCTTCAAGCTATGAGCACTACGAACGCCGCAGTCAACGCGTCACTTCGTGGACTTTGGGTCAGAGCGCCGTTTAGACTGTTTAATCTGCCACATGCAATGAGTTAGTCGAACCCCCGCCTGCGCTGCAAACCCTCTAATCGATGCTCAGGAGTTTGAGCGCTGCTTCTTAGGAAGACATGGGAGACATGCGGGTACTTGAGTCTGCTGCATTGTGCCAGGCAGTTGAAAACCTGGAGAGCTTGAATCACACCGTCGACATGCATGCCCAAGCTGGACGCACAATATGCAAAACATCCTAGTCATTTGCCGTTAGGCATAAACGCAAAGTGACCTACCAACCGGCTGCGCTCTCCGAATAAGGCCTCCTTGGGGTTCAGGATTTGATCAGGTGTCACGAGATTCTTAGGGATCGGGCTGCAGCGGTGCGCAGGTTCCCTTGTTGCATTGAGAAGAGATGTTGCAAATCCTGAGCAACTATGCGTTGGACCATGCATCTGGCGGATGCCGGTTGTCCGAGGTCAACCAGCTGTAATCGCAATCCCTGAAACCTGGTCCAGTACCCGTCCTTGGAGTATTGCGGGGTTCCACTCAGGAGCCAGTGAGGGGGAAAGTTGATGAAATCGGCGAGGGGACCTAAATCCAAGCAAGCCATGCATGTAAATGGGTCAAAGGCAGTGCAGAAGTGGTTGCCAAATCATAGTTCTTCCATGTTCTTCTACTGACCCGCCTGCTAAAGGCAATGCCGCGCTGTGGCCGTGGCCCGGAAGCTTCAACCCGGGATGGCCCCAAATTCAGCAACAATGATAGGAGTCATGGCCAGCTTGCCCTTGCTCGCTTGTGATGCGGAGTCCCAGCGCCCTGGCAGCAGATGAGCTTGTGTAAACTATCGCCGGGTTTGCCTTCACGAGATGGCTTGAAGATCCGAGTTATTCATCAACAGTTTTTGGTCTTGTGAGAGTTACGGGAAGTGGGTTCCAAGTGCCCATGAAGTGCTGCAATCATCGTTGGCCCGACAATGAGCAATGCTAGCAAAATGCCGGCGTGTCGGCCGCTTCCATCAGTTGCAACATATGGTGCCAAATTACGAATTTCTATAATTCGTCCCTCAGACGATGGCCACGACCGACGTCTTATTTATGCTGATTTGAATATAAATCAGCTCTTTTTGATTCGAAATATCGAACGCACCGGAAAGATCGAGATTTCTTGCGCCGTGTCGTTTATCTTAGTTGTTATAGCTTCTCGTGATCCGAAATATTGAAAAAACTAGCCTGATCGATATTTTCTACGCATAGTCGTTTCTATTTTTTTTTAATAGATCGTGATCTTTGAAAATGAATCCGGGCGCAAGATTTCAAGATAGAGAACGAAATATCGATCTTCTCGATAATTTCGTCGCTTCGAATTCAAGATATATTATAAAAAAAATATAAATGGCATTTCGATTTGACCTATTGAGTAGTAATATTACGGATATTAGAATTAGAGGGAACATAAATAATATCCTCAATAGTAATCGGTAGGAGAATCAGGAGCACAGGGCGTCGGAATGATATCTCTCTTTTCAATATGCGCGATTATTTATTGTAGTCGAATATTTGATAGCTGGAGTTGGGACTGGTATCGTTGATCGCGAGAATATAAATACCTTATGAGAAGTTCGATTTCATAATAATAATAATAGTAGCGGCAATTATAATATGTTGTATCATAGCGGGTGCTAATCATATGAGGAGCAGCAGGAGTATCTGCAATAAAGAGAGCACACGCGGCGATAAGAAGGGATCTCATTAGCGTTGTCTTCCTCTCGGAAGCAGTTCGGAGGCGAGATCGAATTATCGGAGAGATTTCTAACGATACGAATATATATATATATATGCATATATATATTGAGAGAGGGAAATCTATAGGATGAATATTTTTTCTCATATATATTTATTAGTAGTAATAAGGAAATTCACGTCGGATGATTCGTATTATACCGCAACTCTAGATATTATATCGGATCGTATGCTTATTAGGGATATTATGTTGGGGCTTTAGTTTCGGGATTGACGGAGTGGCGGTAAGAGTGGGCGTTACCTATTTGATAGTACTTTTCCTGCAATTGCAGTTATTTTCATATATCGATCCTCGTCATAGTATAATCTGAATAGATATGTATATACTTGGAAAGCTTATAATTAAAACTTATTTTGGAGCAATAATTCGACCTCATATCCAAGATCGTTTGAATTAATTTTCATATTATTATAGAAATATAACTTCGAAACGCTATCAGACGATATGATTCCGAACTCCCTTGTTCCAGTCACTACTCTTGGGAGCGCCGTGGTGGAGATCAAAACCGCTCGTCCGGCGTATGGTGTTTACAAATGCTGCTCATATTCAAAATCTTCTTTGTCAATAAAATCGCCAGAATTTCTGAGGTTGCGTTTTGCCACGCGGGAGTAAAATTATTGGTCCGGCGTATGGCGCTGGACGTTGTAATCTTGCTTTAAGCAGATAATCGACACCCAAATGACGGACCCGATGAATTTTAGTTCCCTGGCTCTTAACGCTATATCACTTAGAAATCCCTAAATCTTTATATTCTGATAACCCTCAACGCCCTTGGATTGTGAAGTGCGTAGAAATAACCCGTTTTGGCAATTTTGAAATGACTCATCGGATTCTGGCAGTTGCTCGGGGAGCCTCGGAATCTGCTGTTTTTAGGAGATATTATCGAAGACGTTAGAGAGAACTAGTAGGACCCAAGCTCCTTCCATCTCGACTTGCTCTCCTTGCAGAAATCACAACCACAGGAACGCACAGGTCCATGACAGGCAAGAATTGCAAGATGATACTTGGGATCCTTCAAAACCGTTATGAGACTATGGAATTATCAATCTAAAAAACGGATTTGCAGGACCCCGATTTTTTCGAGGCTTGGCGCTCGTGACATGTCCCGGCACCAGGCGTTGTCGATTATTCTAGTCTATTCTAGTGGTTTCCGGGTCTTTCTCCAGGGGGCTGATTACTAGTATTAAATCATCCATGTCTGACGCTTTGCTGTGCCGCGAGAGCCCCAACAAATCGTCTGATACTTCCAGTTGCTACCCAGTTCCCAAAAGCACAGTCTGATGCTTTGACTTTGCTGCAAGAGCCCGCTATTGGGCGTCTACTGCTTTTAGTTGCTGCCAGGTTCCCAAAAGTGCGTCTGCTGCTTTGAGATTGCTGCGAGGGTGATATTTTCAGTTGCTAGGCTACCAAAAGCATAATCTAATGCTTTGACTTTGCTGCAAGAACCCCCCAAGAGGCGTCTGATGCTTGCAGTTGCTGCCAGACCCCCCAAAGCACGTTTGATGCTTTGAATTTGCTGCGAGAGCTTGAAAAAAACGTTTGATCTTTTCAGTTGCTGCCAGGTTCCGAAAAATATTTGATGCTTCTTCTGCAAACCTCCGCCCAGGGCTTCCCAATCCTGCAATACTTTCGACAGCCTTTGAAAGACCATTTTCATTCTCCGGAAAACCATTAAGAAAAGGACCCAACAGAGTACCCCCAGTATTGTGCTCTGCGCTGGACTTCATGCAGCATTTTCCGAGTGTTGTATTTTTTGTACATACACTTCCTCCAAATTCTCAAAGAAAAAACAAACTATTTTTGACGTTAGAAATTGGCTTCAACTAGTGGCCTCATTACAACCACCTGTCCAGTGTGGCATATGGCAATATTGGCGATCCAAATTTTATATTGGAGGAGCCAACGGTGGAAATAAAACAACTCGATTACGTTGCTACGTTGCGGCTTCTGAGCTCTCAGAGCGTGCGTTGTGCTTAACTGGAATGCTGTTTTTGTTTGAAGCGCAGGGCCCGAAACGGAGGTCGAAATGCGGGTCCGTTTTTGGGCCCGGTAAGCAAGGAGATTGCAGGGAGATCCATTTTATATGTCGTCTGGTGGATCCAAAAGTGCGTCTAGTTAACAGCAGAAATCACGAGACTGGAGTGTATTATTGTATTCGGAAGATGGAGAATACCTAATTTTAGATTTCATATGCGGGGACAAGAGGTGGGGATATGCATCGTCAAGG